CATGCCACTCCCGATCCGGCCGTTATGTCACATTCCGAGGGTTACACCGGTAATGACGTTCTCCGTATTGGTAATGGTACAGGTCTAAGTATTTCTAGTACTGGTTGTGCAACGATACCATCCGTTTCTAGAAATTTAAAATTGTCAAACATTTTACATGTTCCTGATCTTTCAGTTTCGTTATTATCTGTTCACCGGTTTACCACTGATAATAATGTCTTTTTTGAATTTCATCCCGAATATTTTGTTGTGAAGGACCGCACAACCAAGGTGGTGCTGCTTAAAAGTCCCAGTTCGGGTGGTCTTTACTCCTTAACCATTCTGCGGTCTCACCTGGCTTTTCTTTCAGCTCGGGCTTCCTCCGCTGTTTGGCATTGTCGCTTAGGCCATCCGCATGCTCGTGTCTTACAACGTGCTCTTCGGTCCTGCCCAGTTACACCACAAAAATTGAGTTCTTCGAGTCTTTGTTCGGCTTGTCAGTTAGGCAAGTCTAGTCGTTTTCCTTTAGACAAAATAACATACACTAGTAGTGCTGTTCTTGATCTAGTGTATTCGGATATTTGGGGCCCTGCACCTGTTGTTTCTGCAGATGGCTTTCGTTATTTTGTGTTATTTGTGGATGACCACAGTCGTTTTTGTTGGTATTATCCACTCCGTGTAAAAACTGATATATATAAGGTGTTTGATTTGTTTCGGGCCATGGTAGAACGTTTGTTTTCACGTTCTATCAAGGTCATCCAGTCTGACTTAGGGGGCGAGTATCGCCGTTTGCATAGCCTATTCAATACTCTTGGGATTGTTCATCGACAGTCCTGTGCTTACACCCATGAGCAAAACGGCCGTGTTGAGCGCCGGCATCGACACATTGTTGAGACCGGTTTGGCTCTTCTGGCTCAGGGATCCGTTCCATTAAAATACTGGGACTCTGCTTTTGAAACTGCTACTTATCTTATAAATCGTCTCCCTTCGTCAGCCATACAATTTGACACCCCGTATTTTCGGTTGCACAACAAACCTCCCGATTACACGTTTCTTCGGGTCTTTGGGTGCTTATGTTATCCTTACTTACGTCCTTACAACCGTCACAAAATTGAGTATCGGTCTGCTTCTTGTGTTTTTTTAGGCTATCCTGCGTCTTTTAAAGGGTATCGTTGTTTAAACCTTGATACTGGAAAGACTTTTATCTGTCGTCATGTACGGTTTGACGAAACTGTTTTTCCTTTTTCTACAGCTTTAAAAGAGCAGGATACAGTGCAGTCAATTGATCATAATGTGTCATGGGGTTCGGGCCCAATTATATCATCCGCTGAGGTCCCTTTAAATCCTCCGGTTCTTTCTGAAGCCGTGCCACCAACCACTCATCGTCCCCGTCCTACTCGGCGACGGAGGGTTGCTAACCCACAACCACGCGCTCATGTAATGCGTCTCCGTCGTATGACACATGGCACTAATGAACCGTTTTAGGCTCTTGCAGTGACTAACGGTACTGCTGATCCCAGTTGTTACACCCAGGCTGTTGGTCATCCTCAATGGCGTGATGCCATGGACCAGGAATTTAATGCCTTGCTTCACAATCACACATGGGATCTTATTCCTGCAACACCATGCATGAATATCATTGGTTGTAAGTGGGTTTACCGCACCAAACGCAAGGCAGATGGGTCTATTGAACGCTACAAAGCGTGACTTGTAGCGAAAGGGTTTAATCAGGTTGCCGGGGAAGACTTCTTTGATACTTTTAGTCCTGTGGTTAAACCTACAACTGTCCGGCTTTTGTTTTCTCTTGCTGTTTCTCATAATTGGACCCTTCGTCAGCTTGATGTTCATAATGCCTTCCTAAATGGGCATCTAGCTGAAACTGTATACATGCGGCAACCACCGGGGTATGAGGAACCTGGGCATCCTAATCATGTGTGTCATCTTCGGCGCTCTCTGTATGGACTTAAACAAGCCCCGCGTGCTTGGTTTAAACGTCTTCATGATTTTTTGATTGCTACGGGGTTTTTAGCCTCCAAGACTGATGTGTCTCTTTTTCATTACTCTGCTGGGACTGCTCGTGTTTTTCTACTCCTTTATGTGGATGACATTATCATGATGGGCAATGACTCCACACTTATTAACACTCTTATCCAGCGTCTAGCAACGGCTTTTAAAATCCGGGATCTCGGTCAACCATCCTTTTTCTTGGGTATTGAGACACTATTCAGTACAGGGCTTTGTTTCCTCTCGCAGCGCAGATATATGAATGATCTTTTAAACAGGGCTGGTATGACTGATTGCAAGCCTCTCACAACCCCGGCCTCTATTACTAAAGTAGTCACTCCATCCGATGAGATTTTTGATAATCCTACTCAATATCGTCGCTTGGCAGGGGCTCTTCAGTACTTGACTATTACTCGTCCGGATCTTTCGTATGCTTAAATCGCCTTTGTCAATTTATGCACGCACCAACAGTTGATCATTGGGTCCTTCTCAAACGTGTGTTACGATATGTTAAAGGCACATTAGACTATGGTCTACGTCTATCTCTCTCGCTATCCTCTGACATTCACGCTTACTCCGATTCTGACTAGGCTGGCTGTCCGATAGATCGCAAATCCACTAGCGGCTATGCAGTTTTTCTTGGCAACAACTTGATCTCCTGGGTTTCGCATAAGCAACGCACTGTTGCTCGCTCGTCCACTGAGGCTGAATACAAAGGGTTAGCGGACGTTGCCGCTGAGGTCACATGGGTAGTATCGCTTCTTCGTGAACTTGGTCTTCATTCTGGTGCTCCAGCAACTCTTTGGTGTGATAATCTTGGTGCCACCTATCTTTGCGCTAATCCTGTTTTTCATGCTCGGACGAAGCATGTTGAAATTGATTTTCACTTTGTTCGTGATAAAGTAGCTTCTGGGGACTTTCTAGTCAATTTCATATCCACCAAAGATCAACTGGCTGATATCTTTACAAAACCGCTTCCGGCTCCGCGTTTTGAGGTTTTACGTGGCAAGCTTAATGTTGTGTCTCTCCAACCTTCAGCTTGAGGGGGCGTATTAATGTATATCTTTATATATCTTTGTAAATCTTCCGTTACATATCTTTTGTATCGTTTGTATTATGTAAATGATTCCTACCTTACTTAGAATAGTCATTAGTCAGGATATATATTGTAACATTCCTATTGAGATATTAAGTTAATCAAAAGATTTACACTTATAGTTTAAAACCAAGGTATGTAAATAAGACAATGGTAACGAGACAAATTGATTAAAATGCCAAAAGTGCAAAATTAGTAATAAGATAAGGGAATGTGAGATTACCTAAGAAATTGGAGGGTATTTCACATTCCATTCCAATAACTAAAAATTTAAAATGGGGGTTATGTGGCATTCCCTGGGAAAATTATATAACATGAATCAAACATGAGAATCTTATATTTTCAAGTATATATAACCTTAGTTATCTTATATAACTTGAACCAAACACCCCCTAAGAGTCTTAGTTGAGTCCTTCCCATAGTCTTCTTAGTGTGATCTACATCGTCTGTGTAATTTGTAGTTTATTACACAAATTCAATATTTACTCTGTGCACACCATCTATAGTGACTCATCAATAGTCACCCGTAATTTGAGATTTAAGCTCTACCATATAGCAATCTCTTGTCAAACATGCTAAGTCCTAAAACATCCCAAGGAATTTGGGCCCCAACTCCAAAATGCCTTAAGAGTCTTAGTTGAGCCCTCCCATAGTCTTCTTAGTGTGATTTACATCTCATGTGTAATTTGTAGGTTATTACACAAATTTAAAATTACTTTGTGCACACCATTTATAGTGACAAGTAACTACGAGTTTTTATCGTCACCAAAAAAAATAATACGGAGTAATACTATTAAATAGTAGCTACGAATTTCCTGTCATAAATAATTTCTTCATTTTACTAAATTTAATCTTATATAGTTCTACTCCGTATCATATAATCTGTCCTTAACTCTGGTTTTTCAAATGATCTTAGGGATGACTAAAATCTATAAAAATCATGCTAAAATATGACAAAATCATTTATCTAAAACAAAATCGATTTCAATTTAACAATTCAGTATGTGGTGTTTGGTAGGATGGAATTGCAATTCCATTTCTATCGAACTTCATGAAATTGTGAGTGAATTGCAATTCTTAGGGTCCTAGGAATTGCAATTCCACACTTTATGGAATTGTAATTATATGATAAATAACTATTTTATCCTTTTTCTTCTTATATATTATTATACAATAACATTTTAGTCTTGATTCACTTCTTCACTTTCAATTTTCCATCATTATATTCATGTCTACTAAACAATTAATTTAAATTCCTACTTTATTCATTTCCTACTTAAATTACAAATTTTTCCATCCCAACCAAATGCCTTGTTAATACACCCGTTGATTTGATGGGAGCAAGAAAAAAGAAAACGGACTGCTCGAGTAACCAATAACCAATAACCAAACCAAACAAAATTTTCAGCCAGTAATTGGTTATAAAGTTCTAAAAGATTAACTTATTTAGGTTATTTTAATTTTTCAATCGGATATGACTATCTTTATGATTAAGAATTGAATAAACATTTAACCATATGAATGTTCAATGATGAATTATCAATCTAATTTAAAAATTTTCAGTTGTTTTGGGTATTAATCGAAAACCGACTAAAACCAACAATGTTATACCCCACATGTTGAGGACTTGATAGCAATTTTTACATTTCTCAACGAAATATTATAACAATTCGAAAGGTATTAGTCGCTAACATTGCTACTTTGCTAGTTATCTCTTAATGACACTCCACCCACTTTAATTATCATTTTCCATTATTAAATACATTACCTTTAAATTATCTCCACGTCAGACAACTTTCATCCCATGAAAAGGAAATCATCATTTGTCTTTGGTCACTAATCACACTAGTCACAGCCAAACAGTTGAGAGAAAGCAGCCTGCTAACCAATAACCATAATTATTAAATGAGATAGATTGTGCTTTATGAAAATATTAGTATGCCATAGATTTTAAAGATTTCCATTACATTTAATGCCATAATCTAATCACATCCTCCAGAGAAGCAAGCTGGACAGCTAGATAGCCTAGATTTTCAAAACTTTTTTTTTTTATGTAATGACATCCAACATTCCTACGATTGTAAGACCAATTTAAATTTGACCCGAGTTTCACCCGCATAGGATTGCCAAATGGACTGCCTCAGAGTTCTTAAGCATCCCCGGATTTTGAATAGTTTTTGCAGGTTGAGTTGCGTGGAGGAGAGAGAAGCTTTGGGATCTTCCTGCTAAGACCTGATTTTTATCTGCACAATGCGCCCCACCAAAGTTGATAAGCTGTTGTGTTTGTCGCATGAAGCGAACTGAAGGCGGGCGCATAATTTCCTTTGTTCTTTTATTTTTTTTTTCTTCTATCCCTTTTATCTCTACTCTCTAGTTAGACCTGCAAAAACTCCTCAAAATCTATGCCTATTGAGGATGCTCCAAGACTACAAGAGTCGACCTTTCCGACTTTGCATGTTACATTAGCCAGCTGTACAGCTAGATTTCCAACCACCTTATTTTGAAAATCACAAAAAGGTGTGCAAGTGCCCAGTACATATAGTAAATAGCAGGCAGGGCTTGAAAGTCAAGCACACTAGTGCAGGCAGTACATAGTGCATTAGTGCATACTATGGCCATGTAACAATTGAAAGAATATATAGTTGAAATTGAATTTTTCTGTATCAAAATCAATGGCAAGTAACTTGTACCTTCCTTTGATGATGTTATTAACTTCACTGAGGTGTAAATTTACCCTTGAAAGGAATGCTGTTGATAGACCAAACTTTTAATCTTAAATATTTGAGGATTGGTTGCAGGAGACTGGGAGAGACAGAACTTCAGTTAGGCCAGTATTATACGTGGCTCGCCGACGGCTCTTTCCATTCGAGAGTACCAATCACCAATGCGAGTGTTCTCCACCATGTCTTGACCAGATTTTAAGTAGCGGATTGGTCTCAAGACACCAAAGACAGCAAGATCAGCTAAATTTGGTTTAGACCCACCTGTTAAAAGGAAGGACGATCAAGGAAGGACAATACTGGACATGGTATGGAAGCAGTCGGAATCAAACAGAAAATCTCGTATAGAAAACAAACCAACCAAGAAACTCTCGCCCATTCAAAGCATCAACCCAGGTTTCTGCTGCTTCATACAATGCTGCACGCTCATCAGTAATGTTATATTTTTTCTTCAATTTTTTGGATATGAAATACATGGCTGTAGCTCCAGCATACTTTGCCAGTGTCCTCTCATAAAAGGTGAATTTACCTGGAAGCATAAGAAAAATATTACCAGGTCTTAGGGCGGGGAAGGCAGAACAGAAGTCATAATCAGATACAATGGTGAACAGATAGCAGCCATGCCATTTTGATTACAAAGAACTGAAATGAAGGCAAATTCTATCAGCCATTGAGGTAACTGATTAATTCCAATCAAATCTTTCTTTCCAGAAAACTTAACTGTGACAATGGGGTCTCTCCGTCTCTGAAATGTTTTATATATTCGCCAGTAATATGTGATCTTACCTTTAGATGTGATGTAATCAAATGATTCCAAGGCCTCAGAAGCACTTCGATATATATTTGGTGACAAGACATGCACCAAGTGATTATCCACCCACCTAAACGTATAACATATCCTTATTTCAAACCACTATTTCCCAATTTACGATACTAAAAAGACAAATTTTAAATGTAGGAATCTTCCACAATTAACAAATCTCCCTATACCAGCTAATGGATTCTGAGAAAGTGGACTAGTTAAGCTACATTTTCATTATAAGTAAGAGGTATAAGACATCCATACTTGCGCCACTTATTCTCTTCTTCAGCATCCAAGGTGGGTTTAGCAATGGTCACAGGGCGAACCTTTTGGGACAGCTTATCAATTATATCTGCATACAAACAATGGGAATGCTTGGAACTCAGTTGGAAGTTAACCAAGGAATATAACGGATCAGTATAAATATGCTTCTGATCATTTTAAAGTTGTAGTTAGTTAAGATGCTACTATAAAGATTCAATTAACACCTGATGAGTCCACCAATTGTTCACCATCTACCATCAAAATAGGAACCTTCTTGTAATCTGACCACTTGATTTCATTTTTGCTAATTGGATTGACCTCCACGATTTTGTAAGGTATATCACAATAATCTAGGAATGCTGGAAAAGCAGATGAAGTAAAAATACAAAAGGTTAATACACGTTCGTATGCTTCAAATTCCAAATAAGGAATGGTCAGTTGAATCAAAATTTGATTAAACAATCCAATTTTTTTTTTTATTTTTTTTTTGAATGCTAGTGAACTCTATTACTGGAACTGAAGCTGAAGACGCACTTGACCAAACGGAAATTGAAGTAAATTAATCACATTCTGGAATAGGACGATAATATGAATATGAATACCTTTAACCTTGTTACAGAAAGGACAAGCTTCGTACTGATAAAGAACGACGTCGTTAGGGCGAAATTTCGGATTGATCGGCTCTTTTGCGTGGACCTTATCAGCCAACGCGGTAGCCGCGACAGAGAAGAGAATTGCTCCGGCAACGGCACGAGCAGCGGTGCTCGAGGACTGGTCCTCGAGCTTATTACAGGAGAACCAGCGAGATCTAGCATCGGCAATGCCGCCGGTGCTGTAAAGAGACGCCTGTACGATCCGGTAGTTTGAACTTTTACCGCCGGCGGCCCGGCACATTGCGGCGAGTGCACTTAGCCTCCTCATTTTCCAGAGATCCGTTGCACGGCCGGAAAATTTGATCGTCTGGAATTCGATCCCCAGCTACTCGTTTCGCCGTTCCGATGGGTTTTGTGAGGGTTTTATGAGTTGCCACGTCAGCAAAGTAATTTGGGCTTCTTTTAACTGTCCAGAAGCCTAATTACAACATACTGGGCCTATAAATATATTAAACAATAAAATGGGCTGATAAAGTTCCCCAGGCCCAATTAATAGTACAAAACATGGGCAACACTTTGAGGCAGCAATTATGCTGTGGACCGCGGTCCAAAACGACAGAGATTATAATGTATCTAAACTGACACTGTCTCACGTATTATTTTTATTATATTATTAAATGAAATTGTAGTGTATACAAAATGAAACTAAATAACAATTTTATATATTTGAGTGTATATTGTCCAACGAAACTATAGTTATATCAAAATGATATTGTAATTGTGTTGAAATAAAACTGCAGTGCATATTTGATGCATGGACCACAATGCATTGTGGACCGCGATTCACAATATAATTTGCCCACTTTGAGGCCTTTATTTCAGGCTTTCCTTTCCAAATATATAATAGAAAGAGGCAAATTATCAATCGTTATACCCTGCACCACGGTGCACATAGTACTGTGCGCCTCACGCCTTCTAAAACGATGTTGTTTTATTAAGTCGTGTGAGGAGTCGACGCGACAGAGTGTATGTGTATTATGTTATACAATTATGTACATTATGTTATACAATTATGTACATTTTGGTATACAATTATGTACATTAGAACATGTCATTTTTTTTAACAGTTAAAAGTTTATGTACATTATCATATACAATTATGTACATTTTAGCATACAATTATGTACATTTTCAAAACATGAATTTTTTTTTAACAAGTTAACATCAAACACAGAAAAGCGGAATTTAAAAAAAAAAAAAAAAAAAAAAAAAGTGCAAAACGACATAGTTTTGCACCAGAGCACACAATGTAATGTGCGCTCTGGTGCACGATATAAATTGTCGCAAATTATTCTGTGGACCCGACGGGGTCTACCTTGCAAGTTGAACCCGGGTCCAAATATTTACAATTTACAAATTGAATGTTCACAGTTTTTATATACTGAATGTTCACAATTTACATAATGAATATTCATAATTTTGTATATTAAATGTTCACAATTTAGATACTGAATGTTCACAATTTGAATTGTGAACATTGGGTATATAAATTGTGTATTTTGACATGAGTCTATTTTGAGGGGACCCGGATCCATGATAGAAAGACTGATCTTGATTTGATTGAGCAAGGATTGGGAAGTTACTTTGTGACATATTTATCGCGAGCTAGTTAAGATGGATTGTCCTTGGAATGAGCTTCATGAGCCTCGTATTGCGCAGGCTTTAATGGAGGATCGATTGCGAGCTGATAAGAATTTAATCGATATATTTATGAACTCACATGCAAATTCAAATTCAACTCAAAAAATAGATCAAACTACAAATTGGCTAAAGTTATACTAACATTTCAATTTTGGTGCTAATTTATCAACTTTAAAATATTAAGGTAAAACTTTCACAAGTCACAAAATTTAAATACGGAGTAACTTTTTTTTTTTTTTTCAAAAAAAAAACAAAAAAAAAAAAAAAAAAAAACTAAACACGGTGGACAACACTGCTTATCCTCACCTTCAGGGTCAGTCTGATCCAACGTCGGCTTTTCCATAGACAGTTGCATATCTATTATTTCTTTATTTGATTATTGTGTAGTCAGTTGTATTCCTAGATTGTCTAATTTGGTAGCTCATACTTTAGCCGCTTTGACTTTTACTCAACCTTCTGTTATGTACTGGGAGTTTATTCCTCCTGATGCTATTACAGCTTTTCTCTAATATATACCTTAACCGGCTCCAAAAAAAAAAAAAAAAAAAAAAAAAAAAAAAAAAAAAAACCTCAGTGGAAATTTTCTTATCAAAGTGATAGCATTGAATTCTTTGGGTGAATGTCTTATCAAGTCCATTAAATTTTTAATTCAAACTATTTTCAAAATCTGGTCACGATTTTCTACAACTAATTCAAGATGTGTGAGATCATTAAAATTGACATGTTTCCTTCTTATGGAGGAGTGTATAACATTAATTTATCATAATACAATGAATTATCAAAGTATATATTTCAGCACTCTAATTTAAATTTTATACGAATTTGAACAAAGAACACTTCAAAATTGTAGGCAAGTGTTGGCATAAATGTAATATTCAGTAAATTAAATAGTATGGGGTTATTCAATGATAGATTATGATGACAATGTAGTTGTGGAAGACTTAGCTTAAATATGATTGACACTCAAAAGGTGCAAATGCAAAGATACTTTTTGTTTTGTTTAAAAAAAAAAAAATATTATACCTGATGATCACGAGTTTGATTTATTTTTAACACCCTCTTGATCGATACCATTGAATTGAAGATGATCTTTCTAGTACGATTTATTTCTCTTATCTGATTTACGGATTTACGGGCTACTATACAGAAGCAAAATTTATCCAATATACACAATCGGATAGTGGTTATAATTTCCCTCATGTTTGCAAAATGAAGGCTTTTACAAAAAAAATTATTCTCTTCTTAAAGGCACACATAAGTATCATCCAAATTGGATTTTGATGGCCATCTCTCATTTATTCTCCTTAGCACTATCTTTGATTCTAAATCTCCTGCAATTTCACCACCATCTTTTTAACACACAGAATTTGAATCTGTTCTCATTCTAGTGGAGAATATATGCTGTCTTGTTCCATACAATTCGTGCGGTTTTCATTCTCTGTGCAATCCAATAATCTAACTTAGAACCACCAACAAGCATTGGGTGCCATTTTCTCTCATTCATTTTAGTATAAAGTTGCTCTCAAAAGACACTTTTCCCCAACAGTTGACTTCCATTCAATGGCAGTGTAAATTTTGTATGATGAGCACAAACTTCTTATTGACAAAAGTGCGGTTCGATTCTTGTTCTTGTTTTCAATCACATCGTTTCGAGTAAAACATATATACTGCTCGGGGATAAATCACATTCATGTGTAATAGTTCGCAAATCTCCATGCTACTATGAGCATATGTTTTCAAGCAGGAATAGACTCCTATAGTTCACATTAGGCGTCTGTGAACAACATACGCATGAAGTCAGGACTATTTTAATTAGTGTCTCATTCATAGGCGTTTGTTGTAAAACAGATGCCTATTGCTTCCTACAATAGATGTCTATGACCTATTTTGTACTAGTGGGTGAATCTCGATCACTAGAAAAAATATACTGAGTAGTCCAGTGTAAACCATGTTAATTATTGTATAATAACACGCAAACCACACAGGATAAATGAATAGTACTAAAAAAATCTTGTGCAATGAGCTTGACCAAGAGAAGGCGTTTGCAATAATTAAACTGATAACTTTTTGGTGCAAAAATCATATTTTACATACCCACTTGACTATCCATTTTCGGAGGAATATTGCATATATTTTAGTTGTATACTTGTAGTATAATTGGGTTAGTTTGGAGAAAAGGAACATCCCACACTTAATATGTGTTTTAAATGGAATCATTTGGTTCATGCTTTTAAACATTGTGATCCAGCTTTGGAGTTTGGTTTGTATACTTTCTTATAAGATGTAATGGGGTTTGACATTCACTTGATTATATTAATACCAAGTCCTTATAGTGCATCCCACCGGACAACAATCTTAATTTGGTTAATCTAGAACATAGGTTACAGATAGATTTTGTCAAGTAGGGATACTAAAAATTTAAGGAAAATCATAAATGCACTTTAAGGAATTAAAACTTCTGCTACGTGTCTTGATCTTATTCGACACGTATTGTTCCACCAGACAACAATTCTAGTTTAGTTAATTCTTATTATTTATGCGCACAAGAGATATTTACCATCATTAATCGGTTAAAATCGAACTTATCATATCATCGATAATAAGACTATTTGTTAATTGTGTGACCAATTGAGTTAGTCAATTAAGATGAGTATAAAAATGAGTTTAATTGAGTCATGTATGTATACCCAAGTTTGAAGTTGGAGTGGAGACAAATGATAGTTAAGACTTGGCAGATAGGAGGACAGGAGGTCATAATGAGAAGAGGGAGGGAAGATCAGATTTGGTCATGCTTAGCTTAACTAAAGAACAAAAAGAGGAAAGTGGACTTTTGACTTGCAGCCGAACTGAAAGTCAGGAGGGTAAAATAGGGACGTCGGTTTGGGAAAAGACACAGACAGCCTTTGCTCTGGGCCCCAACCTCCATTTGCACCAAAAAGTACATCATCCTTGTTTTGTTTTTTTTTTTTTTTTTTTTTTTTTCTTTGTTAGTGACCCATATGACAATGCAATATCTGTAAATTCATTTTTAATTTTATAAATGTAAATTAAGTTATTCTAATTTTAAAATTTCATATCAAATTATATACTTATAGACGTAAGAGTTCGAATTGTGAAAAGTACATAATTTTTTTAAAAAAATTTTAAAAGTAGAATAATTAAAATTTATGATCAAATATAAATATATTATTATAATTATGTGACTAAAAATGTGCAAATACAAAACTCATTAAAATAAACAATCATAAATTTATCATCTCATATGAGAGGTTGTGACTTCAAGTTTCAGTGGAGTCAATAGTACTCAAAAATTAATCGTTATATCGTGCACCAGGGCACACAATGCGTCCCGCCCTGCTCAAAACAACGTCGTTTTGTTATGTTGTGTGGGGAGTTGACACGACGGAGTTTATGAGCATTCTGTTATACAATTATTTACATTTGAAACAAGAGATTTTTTTAAGAGTTAAGAGTTTATGTGTATTATGTATTATGTTAGATTATGCGTATTATCATTTCAAAAAAAGATTATGTGTATTCTGTTATACAATTATGTACATTTGAAACATAAGAATTTTTTTTTAAAAGTTAACTGCAGATACAGAAAACGAAATTAAAAAAAAAAAAGTTACAAAAAGACGTTGTTTGAGTTGCATTGTGCGTCCTGGTGCACGATATAATTTGGCCTAAAAAATTATCAAAATTATAGAATAATTTAACAATTTTTTAAAATCTTAATTTAAAATGGTTAATAGAAATCTAGAAGGGAATAACATTCGATCCATGCATTTCCGCCAACCCTTTTCCATAAGGTTAATTTTGATTAAAAAAAACAATAATCAAAGATTGTTTTCAGAGATTTTGGTGATTGGATGGAGCCTCCGATTGGGTGTTCTTTTCCATGGCAATGGCTACTCTCACGTCCTTTCTACTTGTTCAAATAGCCACCCTATCCCCTATTCTCTTTCTGCAAATCTCCCATTTATATCTCTTCAATTCTTGGTTCCCCAATCTCCAGCTAAGCCGCCATTGATAACACTCCAAAAGCTTAAGATGCATTATTCTTCTTTCTCTCTTTTCTTCTTCCTGTTTTCCACTTCCATTCTCCATGCCTACTCTTCTGATATTGACGTGCTGCTGAAGCTTAAGGCTTCCATGGTCAAGCCGCGGAGCTCCGGGCTGAGTGATTGGAAAGACGTGGGCAACGCCACCTCCGCCTCCGCCGCCGCCGTGCATTGCTTCTTCTCCGGGGTGAAGTGTGATGGGGATTCGCGGGTGGTTGATATAAATATTTCTGGTGTTCCGCTCTTCGGCACGCTCCCGCCGGAGATTGGGCTGTTGGATCGGCTTGTTAGCTTGACTCTCGCCGACGACAACCTCACCGGGGAGCTGCCGCCGGAGATGGGGAAGCTCGCGGCGGTGAAAGTTATTGTTCTGATGAATAATAATTTTTCCGGTGACTTCCCCGGGGAGATCTTGGGTGGGATGACGGAGCTTGAGGTGTTTAACGTTTACAACAATAACTTCACCGGTAACCTCCCGGTGGAGGTCGTGAAGATGAAGAAACTGAGGACTCTTATTCTCGGCGGGAATTACTTCGCCGGAGAAATCCCGGCGGCGTACTCTGAGATCACTAGTTTGCAGATTTTGCACTTACAGGGAAACTCACTCACCGGTGTTATACCTCCAAGCCTGTCTAACCTCCCCAACCTTGAGGAACTAAAGCTAGGCTATTTCAACACATATCACGGCGGCGTTCCGCCGGAGTTCGGCTCGTTCGCCACTCTCCGCCTTCTCGATCTCGGCGGCTGTAACCTCACCGGCACCATTCCGCCGAGCCTCGCGAATTTGAAACGGCTGCATACTCTATTCCTGCAAATGAACAGTCTCACCGGTCATATTCCGCCGGAGCTGGGGAATATGGAGAGTTTAATGTCTCTGGATATTTCGTATAACAATATGACCGGAGAAATTCCTGAAAGTTTCGCTCAGTTGAAAAATATGACGCTCTTAAACCTGTTCAATAACGAATTCCACGGTGCAATCCCGGCGTTCATCGGCGACCTTCCAAACCTAGAAACGTTACAGGTTTGGGGTAACAACTTCACGTTCGAATTGCCCGAGAATCTCGGGCGTAACGGCCGGTTTCTGTATCTGGACGTATCGTCCAACCGTTTCACCGGTACGATTCCGAAACACATGTGCGCCGGCGGGAGGTTGAAGACGTTGATTCTCATGGAGAATTTCTTCTTCGGTCCGATTCCTGAAGAGCTCGGCGAGTGCAAATCGTTGATTACTGTTCGCGTTATGAAGAATTTTCTGAACGGAACGGTTCCTCCCGGGTTCTTCAATCTGCCGCGGCTCGATATGCTTGAGCTGAATAACAACTTATTCTCCGGCGAGCTTCCGGCGGAGATTTCTGCCAGGAATTTAACGATTCTCACTCTTTCAAACAATATGATCGCCGGCGAGATCCCTCCGGCCATTGGGGAATTAGAGAGACTCGTGAAGCTGTCGCTTGGCGCCAACAACTTCGTCGGAGAAATCCCTAATGAAATTTCGAAGTTACAGAAGCTCTTGACCATTGATTTGAGCGGCAACGGTTTAAAAGGTGAGATTCCGGGTTCAATATCGCAGTGCACCGAGCTGAACTCCATTGATTTCAGCGGAAACAATCTCACCGGTGAAATTCCAAAGGAAATCTCAGAGCTTCACAGATTGAACGCACTCAACTTATCCGGCAACGCGCTATCCGGCGCAATTCCCGCTGAACTAGGGCTAATGAATAGCTTAACCGTCTTGGACCTTTCCTACAATGATTTCACCGGCCGGAGACCCGCCAACGGGCAGCTAAGGCTCTTCGGCGACCGGTTTTTCACCGGAAATCCAAGCCTCTGTTCACCTCACGCCCGATATTGCCCCTCAGCTTCATCGGTGAAAACAGCATCTAATCATTCCCATGTTTTCACCACGGCGAAGATGATGATCACGATAATAATCCTGGTCACGGTGGCGCTGCTGCTGGCAGTCACGTGGGTGATAATCCGGCGGGAGAAGATCCGGAAATCAAAAGCGTGGAAGCTCACGGCGTTCCAGAGACTCGACTTCAGAGTAGACGACGTTCTGGAGTGCTTAAAGGAGGAGAACATCATCGGCAAAGGCGGCGCCGGGATTGTCTACCGGGGATCCATGCCCAACGGCGTCGACGTGGCGATTAAAAAGCTAATCGGGCGCGGCACCGGCTGCCACGACCACGGTTTCTCGGCGGAGATTCAGACGCTGGGCAGAATCAAGCACCGCCACATCGTCCGATTGCTGGGATACGTTTCCAACAACGACACGAACTTGCTGTTATACGAGTACATGTCGAACGGGAGCTTAGGGGAGATGCTTCACGGGACCAAAGGATCGTATTTGCAGTGGGAAACGCGGTACAGAATCGCCATGGAAGCCGCCAAGGGGCTCTGCTACTTGCACCACGATTGCTCGCCGGTTATTATCCATAGAGACGTCAAGTCCAATAACATCCTGCTCGACTCCGATCACGAGGCTCACGTCGCGGATTTCGGGCTGGCTAAGTTCTTGCGAGACGCCGGCGCGTCCGAGTGCATGTCCTCCATCGCCGGATCTTATGGCTACATTGCACCAGGTACGTACGCCCATGAAATGTTGCACTTATATTACTGCCTTTCTTAATCAACTAATGTGTTTTGCTCATTTATGCTTCCATCACACTCATTTAGGATTAACTAACTAGACTCAAATAGGAGTGTAAAATGAGCTGAGTAGCTCGCGAGTCGTTCAGTCAAAGTTCAATTTATACTCCCTCAACTTTGAGCTCGTAGCTTGTCGAGTACCTCGCGAGCCATATATATATATATATATATATATATATATATATATATATATGTATATATATAGCCGAGCAGCTCGCGAGCCTCTCGGTCAAAGCTTAGCTTGAGCTCGAGATCAGATGAATTCGAGTCGCTCGTTTCATAACCAAGCCGAGCTCAAGCTTCAATTTTCAAGCTCGGAGCTGAGCTCGTTTACACCCCTAGACTGGAACCAGTTTACTTAGTGCGTACAATTGGACTATAATTGTAATTTTGCTTGTTACACAAAATCAAAATTAATTAAGGGGTATAATTTTATAGCTATTGATCATATAATTATGAACTAAATTTACATTTGTCTTATAACTTAACGATCAAAAGTACAATATTCCCAATATAGTTTAGACTAGTTCATTGGTTATATTCAACATTTTTAGTGTTGATTCGACCCAAACTTATCTATTTTGCGTGTTGGTTTGATCCAAATATGATATGTTTGTTGTTTGGCTAACTCACTCTTAAATTCTAACAAATGTTTTGTTTTGAATTTGTAACAGAGTATGCATACACATTGAAAGTTGATCAGAAGAGCGATGTGTATAGTTTCGGAGTAGTGTTACTAGAGCTGATCACGGGACACAAACCGGTGGGCGAGTTCGGGGACGGGGTGGACATAGTGAGGTGGGTGAGGAAGACCATCTCGGAGCTATCTCAGCCATCCGATGCGGCCTCCGTGCTAGCCGTGGTGGATTCCAGGCTCAATGGCTACCCACTCCAGGGCGTGATCAACCTGTTTAAGGTTGCCATGTTTTGCGTTGAAGATGAGAGTTCTGCCAGGCCAACCATGAGAGAAGTTGTTCACATGCTCACTAATTCTCCCCAGCCTGCCCCTACCTTCATCACTCTTTGAGACTAATCACCTATATATTTTCTTATTTTTATTTTAAAAAATGGGATAAGGCATGTATTGTATAAATAAATTGTAATATTTGTGTTGTTTTCGGGTGCAATCTATCACCCAAAATTTCGAGAACAAACTGAGCTACTCGTGAGGGTCATATTTGTATCTGTTGTATAATGTTGGGTTGGATACATTGTTACATACATGGCTTGAATAATGTCGGGAGAACTTTTCAAATAATGTTAATGTATGATAGTAGTTTTGCTATGGTACTCGAAAAAATATAGTTATGAGGATCGCCTTATACAAATCAAATTTATTAAGATTGGGTGGAGTATGTATGAATTTCGTATTAAAAGGTCATGAGTTTGATTTTGTCAATAATCTCTAGGTCAAATTTGTCATACAGTGTCTTCGTAGTGCAGTTTATCTCTTACACACCCTAAAGGGTGATGAGGTCCAAAATTTCGATAACAAACTAAGCTACTTATGACTTGTGTGGCCGTGTGGGGGCATATTTGTATCGTTCCGTTGTATAATGTTGGGTTCGAAAGATTGTTACATACATGGCTTCAATAATGCTAGGAGAGCTTTTCGAATAATGTTAATGTATGATAGTAGTTTTGATATTTTACTCCAAAAAACATAGTTATTAACGTCTTATACAAATCAAATTTAGTATGAGTGGAGTATAAATTTCGTATCAAAAGGTCATGAGTTTGATTTTTGTCAACAATTTATTGGTCGAATTTGTCGCATAGTGTTTTTATAGTGCGGTTTACGTCATGAGCACCCTAAAGAGTGATGTGATGATAAAAACTCGCAATCACTATGTGAAGATGTGTATTAGAATGACCTTGTACGATGAGCTCGATCGAGAAAATGTTGATAATAATTAAATTCGTGACCTTTTAATAAAATAATCAAGCTTTCGTCCAATTAGTCAACATTTAAGGGCAATAAGATTTCTTTTATTATATATATAAATATATAATATATATGTGTGTGTATAGATTTGTTCAATTAACTATTTTTATTCTTTAACTAGTTATAATATGCGCATAATGCAATTATAGGGTGTCTAATAAATAAAAATGAAGTTAAACTTATTTGATCGACATAAAGGTAAAAGTAAATTGATTTTATTAATTATTATATGATATAACTCGACACTATGTTTACATGTAGACCTTCAAAAAAATGAATCAATCTTGATTGATTAATTACATGATTGTTTATATATATAATTAATTAATGACCTTGTGGTCAAGTGGTATGAATTGGTTTTTTTTAGATGGAAGGTAATGGGTTCAAGCTTTACTACAAGGTCATTGGCTTTTTATTTTTTTCTTTTAAACAAAAGTATAAAAAAAGTTCTTATGCTTGTAAATGAAATTTGTGATGCTATATTGATTTCATGTTACTCCATTTGTTATAGTATAGTTTTCTTGCTGAATTGTGGGGTAGTGGTGGTGATATTGTGTGGTAGCAGTAATAATAATAATTCGAAAACTATTTAAAAAAAAAAAAAGAGTGGAGAGAGATAAAAATAAATAATTTAAAAAATGTCTTCTCATTAAAAAATATGAATCTTTTTTCGTCAAATCGGGACTTCTTTTTCCGTTGAATATAATGAATATTTTTCTAACTCTATTTTCCTTTAGTATCCGACCACGGAAAAATTTTAAAAAAATGAATTTCGGAAGTCATTTCCCTGGTTTCCAAACTGACCATAAATTATTGAATTAGCTTATAAATGTAAAAATATATAAAAAGATAATTTAAGACATTAGGATTTTGATTAATGAAAGGTAGGTAATGTCATTTTATATATAAATTAGTAAAGATAAACAAAAGTTAGTTAATAAGCAAAGAGCTTATTTTAAAACGATAGCTATCTGGGTAGTGTTTCAATATAAACTATTATTTTAAACACCTCATATTTTACTGAACAGAACTGGCTTATTTTTTATAGTTTAAAATAAGTTATAAGCTCTACCAAACAGTATCATAATTTACATGTGATATTTTTTTATTAGTGTTTTCAATCCAGGAAACAAAAATTAATTTTATCCATAATGTATAATAAATACGTGAACGGTGAACCAATTCAAGTCGAATCAAATTATTGAATTGTTTTAGATCAAAATTAAAATTAGTAAACATTATATAGATTGACAGGTTTAGTCAACTTGTGGGTAATGGAATAAAGATAACATATCAGATGAGGTGAAACCATTGTCTTAGAGTGCGTTTGGAACCCCGAAAAATGATTTCTAAAAAATGTTTTCTGAGTTTTCAATGTTTGGATGCAATAGGAAAATTCAGTCCTGGGGAAAATGAAGCCATTTTGGTGGAAAATGACTTTCGCCCAAAATTTGGGGGAAGTCATTTTCCGCCAAAATGTTTAAACATACAATTCTACTCATTTTTCCAGAAAATAAACTAAACACACCAAGTTTTTCAAAATACAACCAAACACGAGAAAAGAAAATGTTTTTTGGAAAATGACTCATTTTCCAGAAAATATTTTTCAGAAATCATTTTTCAAACGGACCCTTAGTTAAAAATAGGTTTTACTCCATCTCAACTAAAAGTCTAAATTGATAGTTGGATTGCACATTTATTTATGTTATATTATATGCTCAACACGCCCCCTTACGTTTAGCATGACTCTGATACCAAATTGAAACATGTGATTCATCTCAACTGGAAGTCTAAGCTCATAGTTGGATTGCACTATGTTATATTATATGCTCAACATAATTATATCGGTTTTAATTATAATTTTATTTACATAAGTTATTATTATTATTTTTTTGGTGCATGTTTTCCCTTATTGCATAACACAATGTTTTGTCTCCGAGCACAATATTGTACCTTTCAGAGTACCCTAATATACCTTCCGGTGCACAAACCTCCAGACCACATTGTTGTGTATTCTTGTCTCTTGAACACACATGGTTATTTATTCACATTGTTGAGCCATTGTGTTGTTATGCATATTCTTCAGCCTTCCCGAGAGCATTTGATCTGGAATGAATTACTAATTATTAATTTTCGTTGGGCATGGATCTCCGGTGGAAAATCCCGGCGCCTTTTTGTCGATGATGTTCTCCTCCTTTAAGCAGTCTGGATCGTCGTCTACTCTGAAGTCGCGTCTCTGGAACGCCGTGAGTTTCCACGCTTTTGATTGTTTCCGGGTTATCACGCACGTGACAGCCAACAGCAGTGCAACCGTGACCAGGATTATTATCGTGATCAATATCTTCGCCGGGGTGGAAACATGGGAATGGTTATCGCCGGCGGCGGAGGAAGATGAAGCTGAAGGACAATATCGGGCGTGAGGTGAACAGAGGCTTGGATTTCCGGTGAAAGACCGATCGCCGAAGATCCTTAGCTGCCCGTTGGCGGGTCTCCGGCCGGAGAAATCATTGTCGGAAAGATCCAAGTCGCTTAAGCTATTCATTAGCCCTAGTTCAGCTGGAATTGCGCCTGAAAGCGCGTTGCCGGATAAGTTGAGTGCGTTCAATATGTGAAGCTCTGAGATTTCATTTGGAATTTCACCGGTGAGATTGTTCCCGCTGAAATCAATGGAGTTCAGCTCGGTGCACTGCGATATTGGACCCGGAATCTCGCCTTTTAAACCGTTGCCGCTCAAATCAATCGTCACGAGCTTCTGTAACTTCGAAATTTCATTAGGGATTTCTCCGACGAAGTTGTTGGCGGCAAGTGACAACTTCACGAGACTCTCTAATTCCCCGATGGCCGGAGGGATCTCCCCGGCGATCATATTGTTTGAAAGAGCGAGAATCGTTAAATTCCTGGCAGAAATCTCCGCCGGAAGATCGCCGGAGAATAAGTTGTTATTCAGCTCAAGCATATCGAGCCGCGGCAGATTGAAGAACCCGGGAGGAACCGTTCCGTTCAGAGAATTCTTCATAACGCGAACACTATTCAATGATTTGCACTCGCCGAGCTCTTCAGGAATCGGACCGAAGAAGAAATTCTCCATGAGAATCAACGTCTTCAACCTCCCGCCGGCGCACATGTGTTTCGGAATCGTACCGGTGAAGCGGTTAGACGATACGTCCAGATACAGTAACCGGCCGTTACGCCCGAGATTTTCGGGCAATTCGAACGTGAAGTTGTTACCCCAAACCTGTAACGTTTCTAGGTTTGGAAGGTCGCCGATTAACGCCGGGATTGCACCGTGGAATTTGTTATTGAACAGATTTAAGAGCGTCAGAAATTTCAACTGAGAGAAACTTTCAGGAATTTCTCCGGTCATATTGTTATACGAAATATCCAGAGACTTTAAACTCTCCATATTCCCCAGCTCCGTCGGAATATGACCGGTGAGACTGTTCATTTGCAGGTATAGATTATGCAGCCGTTTCAAATTCCCGAGGCTCGGCGGAATGGTGCCGGTGAGGTTACAGCCGCCGAGATCGAGAAGGCGGAGAGTGGCGAACGAGCCGAACTCCGGCGGAACGCCGCCGTGATATGTGTTGAAATAGCCTAGCTTTAGTTCCTCAAGGTTGGGGAGGTTAGACAGGCTTGGAGGTATAACACCGGTGAGTGAGTTTCCCTGTAAGTGCAAAATCTGCAAACTAGTGATCTCAGAGTACGCCGCCGGGATTTCTCCGGCGAAGTAATTCCCACCGAGAATAAGGTTCCTCAGTTTCTTCATCTTCGCGAACTCCACCGGGAGGTTACCGGTGAAGTTATTGTTGTAAACGTCAAACACCTCAAGCTCTGTCAACCCAGCCAAGATCTCCCCGGGGAAGTCACCCGAAAAATTATTATTCGCCAGAACAATAACTTTCACCGCCGCGAGCTTCCCCATCTCCGGCGGCAGCTCCCCTGTGAGGTAGTCGCCGGCGAGAGTCAAGCTAACAAGCCGATCCAACAGTCCAATCTCCGGCGGGAGCGTGCCGAAGAGCGGAACACCAGAAATATTTATATCAACGACCCGCGAATCCCCGTCACACTTCACCCCGGAGAAAAAGCAATGCGCGGCGGCGGAGGTGGCGTTGCCGACGTCGCGCCAATCACTCAGCCCGGAGCTCCGCGGCTTGACCATGGAAGCCTTAAGCTTCAGCAGCACGTCAAGATCAGAAGAGTTGGCATGGAGAATGGAAGTGGAAAACAGGAAGAAGAAAAGGGTGAAGGAAATGAAAAGAGAGAAAGAAGAAGAATGCATCTTGAGTTTTGGGAGAGTTATCAATGGCGGCTTAGCCGGAGACTGGAAACCAAGAATTAAAGAAATGGGAGATTTGCAGAAAGAGAATAGGGGATAGTGTGGCTATTTGAACAAGCAGAAAAGACGTGAGAGTAGAGCCATGGCTCCATCCAATCACCAAAATCTCTGAAAACAATCTTTGATTATTGTTTTTTAATCAAAATTCTTCCAAAATGAAGAACCCCGGCCCTGGTGACTCAACTGAGACCCCCTCTCCCTGGTCATTCTTTTAAAGTTTCACCTCTATGACCAATTGAGCTACCCATGCATGGAGCCATGGAGGGAATGTTATTCCATTCTTGGTTTCTATTAAGCATTTTAAATTAAGATTTTTTAAAAATTGTTAAATTATTCTAAAATTAAGATTGTTTATTTTAATGAGTGTAGTATTTGCCCCAATTTTAGTCACATAATTATAATAACATTTTTCTAGTACTATTTATTTATCTGGTGTGCTTTACGTGCTATTATACAATAACGAAGTTTACATTATAGTAGGGTCTTTCTAATGATGTTTACCAAGTAGTACAAAATAGATCATAGGTATCTATGGTAGGAAGCAATAGGCGTCTGTTTTACAACAAACGCCGGTGAACTATAGGAGTCTATTTCTTCCTTGAAACATATGCTTATAATAACATGGTGATTTGCGGAGCATTATATATAAACATGATTTATCCATAAGCAGTAGCTATATATATGTTTTACTCGTCACAAAAAAAAAAAAAAAACAAAAAAAAAACACTATTATCCCAAATTTTGTTTGTTTTATTCGAAACGATATGATGTGATTGAAAACAAGAACAAAAATCCAACCGCACTTTTGTCAATAAGAAGTTTGTGCTCATCATACAAAGTGCCATTGAATATAATGGAAATCAACTGTTGCGGAAAAGGAGCAACTTTATACTAAAATGAATGAGAGAAAAATGGCACCTAGTGCTTGCTGGTGGTTCTAATAATTAAGTTAGATTATTGGATTGCACAGAGAATGAAAACCGCATGAATTGTATGGAACAAGACAGAATATATTCTCCACTAGAAGGAAGAGGGAGCTAGAGATTAGGGCAAATTATTGTGTGGACCATGTTCTACACAGTGTTATGTGGACCATAATAAAAAGTACATTTTAAATATACTAAATGTACATTATTTTTGTACTGAATGTACATTATACAGTATAATGTACACTCAGTACAAAAATAATGTACATCCCCTGAATATAGTATACATTATTTTTGTATTGAATGCATATTATTTTTGTGTTGAATGTACATTATTTTACAATATACAAAATATGGTCCACACAATTTGTGTGGACCATGATTCACACAATAATGATTGAGAGATAAGAACAGATTCAAATTCTTTGTTTAAAAAGATGGTGGTGAATGAAATTGCAGGAGATTTAAGAATCAAAGATAGTGCTAAGGAGAATAAATGAGAGATGGCCATCAAAATCCAATTTGGAGGATACTTATGTTTGCCTTTAAGAAGAGAATAATTTTTTTTTTTATTTTTTTAAAGTCTTCCTTTTGAAAAGTAAAGTGTAACCACTATCTCATTGTATATATGGGATAAACTCTGTTCTTGTGTAATAGGACAAATTATTGTGTGAGTTATGAATATCAGGTATATTTTTAATATATTAAAAGTATATTATTTTTGTACGAAATGATACATTATATAAATAGTGTATCCTTAGTATATTAAAAATGTACTTTAAAAAAAATGTACTTTACACGTATATAAATAATGTACCATTAGTATATTAAAAATGTAATTTTTATTTAAGGTTCACATAATTTTGTGAACCATGATTCATGTAATAATAATTGGTGTAGTAGCCTGCAAATCAGACAAGAGAAGTAAATCACAATATCGATCAAAAGAGTGTTGAAAATAAAGCAAACTCGTGCGCATCAGGCATAATTTAAAAAGAAGAAAAAGAAAAACAAAACAAAAAAAAGTATCTTTGCATTTGCACTTTTTAAATGCCAATTATACCTGTCTTCCACAACTACATTGTCATCATAATCTAGTTTTGAATAATCCCATACTATTTAATTCACTTAGGGTGTGTTTGGTTGGTAGGTTTTGCCCACAGGAATGGGTATGAAAGTGATTGTTGTTGTTTGGTTGATAGGTTTTCAGAACACTACTATGGGTTTCGAATACCCCATCATTGAAAAACCCATACCCAAATACAATAAAGGTTTCATTCCCTTATTCATTCTCAAGCACTACTATTAGTAACCATTCCCATTCCACCCTACTACCAAACATGTTAAATATTTTCACCAAAACCCATTACCATTACCAAGTATTTGATACCCATTACGATTCTGATTCCTATGTGCGAACCAAACACACCCTTAATATTACATTTATGCCAATACATGCATACGATTTTGAAGTGTTGTTTGTTCTAATTTGTCGAGAATTTAAATTAGAGTGCTCAAATATATACTTTGATAATTCATTATGATAAATTAATGATTCAACACTCCTCTATACGAAGAAAACATGTCAATTTTAATGATGTCACACGTCTTGAATTAATTTTGAAATTTTTTGACTGTATTTTGAAAAAAAAAATTGAATTAAAAATTATTGCATACTTGATAAGACATTCACCCAAAAAGTTCAATGCTATCACTTTGATAGGAAAATTTTCTGGGTGTCTAGGTTTTTTTTTTTTAGTTATTTAAATTTTGTGACTTGTGAAAGTTTTAGTTTAATTTTTTATGAAGTTGATAAATTAGCACCAAAATTGAAATGTTTTATTATAACTTTGGCCAATTTGTGGGTTTGATCTTCTTCTTCTTCTTCTTCTTCTTCTTCTTTTTTTTTTTTTTTTTTTTTTTTTTTCAGTTGACTTTGAATTTGCACGTGAGTTCATAAATATATCGATTAAATTCTTTGCAAAATTCATTTGTTTCCCCATCAAACACCAAATTCATAAAATAATATTAATTTAGCATATATTAACATTTATTTTAATAAAAAAATTTGTTATACAAAAATTGGATATAAGCTAATTTTGGCATGCTTAACTAAAAAACTAACCGAAAGCTGAAAGGTGACAAACTAGTAACTAATAACCTAAATAATTGAAATGAAAACGTTTGGTAAATTTATGGTTTGTTTGGAAATATGAAAAATGATTTCCAGAAAATGACTTACTTTTCATAAAATATTTTAATTTTCTAGTGTTTGGTTAAATGTTAAATATATATATATATATATATATATATATATATATATATATATATATATTTGTCTATTTGCTTGAAAGTTAAAAAATTACATTTTTTCTATGTGGAGAAGTAGTAGAAATTGCATTTTTTTTTCTATTTGGAGAAGAAGAAGAAGAAGTAAGCAGCAGCAGCAGCAGCGGCGGCGACAGTGTTGGTGGTGGTGGTAGTTGTATCAACGGTAGTGATTGGGGATTGAGGGTACTAGTGTTGGTGGTAGCGATGATAGTGGCGGTATTGATGTTTGTGATGATAGACTGGTAGTGCAATGCATGCATTTGATGAGAGCGTTACTAGGAACCACCATGTTTAAATTTTTTTTTTTTGACTGTCAAAATAAAACACACACACCATTAATCTTGTTCTTATGCATTTTAATTTTCACACTTTTTGGAAACAAAACATGATATATAAATTATTATATTTCTTTTACATATTTTATTATATTTATTATGTAAGGGAGTTTGAATCTCTATACTAATTATTGTTAATAATTTATTCTTTTGCAAACCAAAAACAATGAAAGTAATATTTTAAATAATTTATTTTTCATGAAATTGAAATTCAATTCATTTTCGATTATTTTCTATGAACCAAACCAACTATTTATATTTTGGGGGCAAATTATGCTGTAGAACCGTGTCCGGTGGACACAGTTCTAAAATTATTCATAATTATGAGTATATAGTTCAAAAATTATGAACATATAGTCCTATAATTATGAACATAGAGTTATGAATATAATATGAACATATAGTTATGTAATTATGAACATAAAGTTTCAATAATTGTGAATATGAAGTTAAAAAATTATGAAATATAGCTTTATAATTATGAACATATAGTTTAGTAATTATTAATATATAGTTATAAAATTGTGAATATAGAGTTTTTTTTGAATGCGTGAATATAGAGTTTAATAATTATGAATATGAAAAAAATTATGAATATATAACTTTATAATTATGAACATATAGTTCAGTAATTATGCACAAAAAATCATGTTTAGGTGGACACGGTTCCACAACATAACGATTGTGACAAATTATTGTATGGACCATGGTCCACACAATGTTACGTGGACCATAATAAAAAGTACATTTTAAATATACTAAATGTACATTATTTTTGTACTGAATGTACATTATACAATATAATGTACACTCAGAACAAAAATAATGTACATCCCCTGAATACAATGTACATTATTTTTGTACTGAATGTACATAATTTTTGTACTGAATATACATTATTTTACAATAGACAAAATATGGTCCACACAAGTTGTGTGGACCATGGTCCACACAATAATGATTGAACGATTGTATTTTGGGTTAGTAAATGGGCTTTGCCCACAAAATATGAGGCCCGATTAAGCAATAAAAGGCTGTCCAGTTCACTTCAATTCCCCAACCCGGTTTCCAGGCTTAGTAGCTACGGAGTATTTGAAAACTGAAAACTCATTTTTCCGCCAATTCTTCATTTCTTCACAGGTTGATCGTCGGACACTCGGACAGGGAAGGTAAAGACTGTTACTCTGTAAGAGGATGGAGGCGAAGAGCCCACCGTCGTGCCCCAAAACTGTGACCGTTCGCCGGAACCCCCATCGGCGGGCTCGAGATACTCCGTTAACGAATATACCGGTGTCTTTTCCGAAACCAACTCCAGCGAAGAAAAATGATATCTCTTCTTTTCCGATTGAGGAGATTCTGTCCATTGACGTTAAAGCAAATCCAGAGGCTGATTCAGTATCAGCTGAAGAACCGGTATCTGAGAGTCTCAAAGTCTATCTGAGAATCCGGCCGGTTGTTGTTCAGAGCTATGCTGCGAAGAAGGCGAAAATTGGAGCTGAAAATTTACAGGT